ACCAGTCACCACTCTGTGGGACAGGGACAGGGAACCAAGGCATCCCCTCCCATCATCCCACCTCCGGGGAAACTGTCAATTCTCCAATACAAAGAGAGAGCAGGGACCCCAAAGGAGCACTTTAACTATCCCCACAAAAGGCCCCATTGTCATAAGAAAACATACAAACTCACAACCTCCATTTCTTCAGCATTTCCAGATCGAGGGAATTTTTGTCTTATCAGGTAATAGACTTGTTTTTAGCAGCAAGAATGAGCTCATTACAGATGCAGCTTGTGCTAATAATGATAATTTGCTGTGCAGTAAAATCATCTCTCTCCCTCCCCTGACAGACGATGCTCTAGAAATTACAGGTTAGGGAGAAACAGAAAGGATAAAGATTAAGGAAAAGAATTGCAATGCGGAATTGTTTCAACAAAAGGAGTTTGATATGCACATTGAACTTGATAATCTTAATCATGAAGTTATAGAAGAATTAGATACTATTAGACGATCTTTTAATTGCCTTTATTCGATTTTGTTATTTCTGTTACTGGGTTGTTGTTTTGTGTTTTTGTTTTACTGCTCAAGTCATTTTTTAAAGGTCAGTGCCAGGAATTAGCTAGTGACTTAAATATTGAAAAGATTCGATCCCGCGAGTGAAATCAAGATGAAGGCAGTTGCAAGAAGTGGTTTCGCTCCCGACATCCCCTAATTTCATGGGCAAAGACTTCAAAAACCCTGGGTTTAGAGCAGTAATCTGCAAACTCTATGGGTGTGGGAGAGGGGAGCAGGCAGAACTGCTTCCTGTGTTCTTCATTTCTGAGGGGCCAGCAGAGATGCAGCAGCCTGGACCACACGGCCCTGGGCAGGTGAGGGATCTGTCTCCTGGTTTCCTTCCTGAGGCTGTGGGATCACTCTCCCAGGGTGTTAGGAAAGCTGGAAAAAATCCCACCTGTTCACTGAGCTTGGTCCCGGCCCTTTAAAGAGAATGCAGCTAACTTCTGTTGAGTCATGGCTTTCTTCTTTAAACATGCAATCTCTAAAAGAGATTTTTAATCACTTCAAATAAGGATCTTATCAATTCAAATAAGGAAAATAACATTTTTTCCCGATTATGAAAACAATACCCGTTGGCTGTGGAAAATTGAAAAAACCACAAGAAAGTAAAAAAGACCAATCGCACCATCATCCAAATAATCACTGTTAGTATTATGGGTTAGCTCCCTTTCCCACTCCTCCCTTGTTTTTAAACAGAAAAACAGGATTATAGTGATGTGTGTGTGTGTGTGTGTGTGTGTACACATGGGTTTGCTGTTATTGTCCTGTCTCATGGTCTTGCTTTTCTCATGTACTGTATCAGAAATGTTTTTCCACAATAGCATTTCTCTATCACGTTATCTTTTAATAACAGGATGCATTGTAATGCCACACCCCATTGGGTTTGGGGTGTTGTTTGGTATGACAACCACCCCTTACACACATCTTTTGTTGTTTCCCAGGACAGGGCTCCTTTCCATTTCTGTGCCCCAGACCCTCTGGCTGTCTGATGAACCTATGGACCTCTTCTCAGAACAATGTGTTTAAAGGCATAAAGTATAATACATGAGATTACAAAGGGAGCTAATTATATTGAAATACTATCAAAATACTAAAAAGAACAAATTTGTGAATTAGCCATATAAGTGTTTGCTTATACGTATGTTGAAGAACAATGTTAGAGAGTAGACATGGTAGCTCCAATGACAACTGTGATTATAAAGTACTGATCAACATTAACATTATTTCAAGCTGTTTGCAACAAATGTCACATGACGTGAAAAGATCTGGGATTTTTATTGGGTTAAGGTGACAGGTACAGCTGGGGTTTGTTGCCTACACTCATAAACTAAGGAAATATTATATTTCACTTGGAGGTTAGTGAAACAAACATGTAACTTTTTTCTCATTCCAGTTCTTTTTTCTCATCCAAGATATGACTCCTGATTTCCACCCATGGAAACTTGGGGGGCCAGGGAGCCCAGGTGAAAATTCTCATCTTGGGAAAAACGCTCAGGTGCGGCTCAGTTCATCTTTTGGCCCAGCAGTTTTGAGTCTTTTGATAACAATGGCCTCACTGCCCCAGGAGCTGCTTTTGAGTTATTCTTCATGCCAGTGGCTGCAGAGTGAAGTCAGAGAGAGTGCCTGTCAGTGATAAAAGGTCAGCCAGTGTTATGGGTTGAATTGTGTCCCCCCGACTCTGCCCCTGCAGAAGGATATATTGAAGGCCTAATCCCAGTACCTCAGAATGTGACTTATTTGGAACTAGGATGTTGCAGGTGTAACTGGTTAAGATGAGGTTATACCGCAGAAGGGTGAGCCCTAATCCAGTGTGACTGGTGCCCTTATTAGAAGACAGCCATGTGAAGACACAGAGACACAGGGAATTCACATGATGACAGAGATTAGAATTATGCACCGAAGATTGCCAAGGATTGACAGCAAACCCCCAGGAGGTGGGAAAGAGGCAAGGGGTGACTCTCCCCTAAGGTTTCAGAGGGCACATGGCCCTGCTAACACCTTGAACGTGGACTTCTAGTTTCCAGAAGTACGAGACAATAAATTTCTGCTGTCTCATACCACCCAGTTTGGGGTACCATTACAGCAGCCCTAGGAAACCAGTACAGCTGGTGTGCCAGGGCTCTCCTGGGGACTGGGATTCTGAAACAGCAGGGTTGGGGTGGGCATGGCCCTGTGCCAGTGTTGGGGACTGCCATGCCACAACCCAAGGTGGCTGATGGGGGCCGACTCATTAGATGGCCGGGCTAGGGCTTCAGTGAGCGCCCGATCCAGGTGTGCAATGTTACCTCAGCATCGGGAAGAGCTGGGCCCCACCCAGCAAGGTCAACATAACCTGGAAAACATCCACAGAAGCCGCAGCATGCAGAGAAGTGTATCCTCTTTACTCTCACGTGACAATAAACGGCCTTTATTGTGAATGACATGTTATCACCAACCGGTCAGGGTGCAGGTGGCAGTGAAAAGGACGCTTATCTTATGAAATTTCCCTCGTGCCGGTTGGGGTGTGTGAGGGGCTCTCAGGTGAGAATGGTGAGCTTCTGAGCCCCCCTTAATATGTGCCTCTCCTTGGGAGGCTCTCCACTTCTACCCTTCCATGCCCTTTACTGAAGAGAGTGGCTCTAGATAAATCCTCCCGTTGCATAACACATTTGGCCTCTGAGCGCAGCCACACCTCACCGGAGGTCTGGGGTCCTCCATCAGGGCTCTTCCAAGGTTAGGACACCTAGCACCTGGAAGATAAACCAGCCCCACAAGTTGCAGGCAGGTGGCCCAGCGAGGCAGAAGGGCTACTGCAAACATCCCACCCGCTTTTTTTTTTTCTACTTAGAAAACAATTTTTTTATTGTGTTAAAACATACTTAATACTCACCATCTTAACTATTTTTATGTGTCAGTTCAGTGATATTAAGTCCATTCCCACTGTTGTGCAACAACAGCACCACCCATCCCCGTGACTCTTCTTCTCTTGTAAAACTGCACTTCTGCACCTATTAAGCAAGAATCCCCATTCTCCCCTCCCCTCAGTCCTCGCAATCACTGTTAATTTACTGTCTTTAATTTTGACTACTCTAAGTACCTCATATAAATTGAATCATATGTTATTTCTTTCTCTGTTAGACTTATTTCTCTCAGCATAATGTCCTTTAAGTTCATCTGTCTTGTAGGTTGTGTCAGAATTTCTTTTTTAAGACTGAATAATATTCCGTTGTACATATAGATGACATTTTGCTTATCCCTTCATCCTTAGATGGACACTTGGGTTACACTACTATGAATAATGCTGCTATAATTATCGGTGTACAAATATCTCTACAAGACCCTGCTTTCAATTCTTTCCAGAATATACTCAGAAGTGGAATTTCTGGGTGTATGGTCATTCTAATTTTAATTGTTTCAAGAGCCCACCATACTGTTTTCCATAGCAGCTGAACTATTTTACATTCCCATCTACAGTGTACGAGAGAATCTAAAGGCAACCCACAGAATGGGAGAAAATGTTTGCAAATTGTATATCTGATAAGGGATTAGTATCCAGAATATATAGAGAATTCTATACACTTGACAACAAAGAAGCAAGCAAACTGATTCAAAAATGAACAAAGGGCTTGAATAGACATTTATCCAAAGAAATGTATAAATGGCAAATAAGCACATAAAAAAGATGATCAACATCACTAATCATTAGGAAAATGCAAATCAAAATGATAAAGAGATACCACCTCACACCCGTTAGAATGGCTAATATCAAAAAAAAAAAAAAGCAGAAAATAAAAAGCGTTAGCAAAGATGTGGAGAAATTGGAACCATCCCCTTTTTAAAACCAGCAGGAAGGAAGGAAAGTCCTCCCTTACCTGGAATAGAGAAATCCGGATACTTTGGCAGCAGCCTTTCATGCAGCAACATTTTTGGAGAAGGGGTAGGAGGAGGTGCTGCAGGCCTAACTCAATATATTCTAAAGTAAGAACAAAAGTCATGGAGTTATTCCTTTCACTAATAATAAAAATAAATATAATCTGTGCAGGTCCCGATGAGCACGGTGTGTTTATTTCTGATCCTTACGATTTATCCTAAAGGATCATCATCTCCATTTTACAGAAGGGAAAACTGAGGCCACGAGAGCCCCCCACTCCATGCAGTGCCCTACCATCTCCCTTCCTCAGCATGCTTGAGCCTTAGGTTGCTGCCTGGACAGGGGGCCCAGTTGGTTTTTACTGCCAGCCTCTCCCTGCAAACCAGCAAAGACCAGAAGCAAGGCTTCTGGAACTTGCTGGGCACAGGTTGGGAGCAGGACGTGGCTGCCTACTTGGCAAGTCCTGCAATTACAAACACAGCGCCTTCTGTAAAACAAAAGAGACACCAAAAAAAGAAACAGTCCTAGCGCTGGGCTGGGGGCATCTGGAAACCCCTGGCCTGAGATCTGCTCTTCCCCTCGTTCTTGTTACCTGAGTTACAAGCCAGATTTACTCCTCATATGGTTTCAGGTGTGCTCTCTTGGCCTGCTCCATGACGTCCAGGAAGTCCCTGTAGCAGTTTCTGGCCATGACGGTGTGCCGCGTGGCACAACCTAATTCAGTGACCCTGGCTCTCGGCAGGTAGCCTGCCCAGCTGGGGATGGGGGGTGCTCCTGAAGAGGTTTCGTTATGTATTTGCATTCTGTAAAAAGATGCCATGCTTCCTGAGAAGCCACACAGTGGGCGATGCTCCTAAGCTAGCTGGCACCCCAACAATCAGCCCCAGGGGAAGCATTAGGCCCCTAGACGTGATGAGGGCAGCTACCAATGGTTGGTTGATGCTGCGTGCCAGCACCTTGGTAGGGCTTTGCATAGGTTCTCATTTTATTCTCTTACAAACCATAAGGAGTTGGTGCCATTATTACCTACACTTTGTGGAGAAGGACACTGAGACCTCAGAGAGGTTAAGAAAGTCTTGGCCAAGGTCACATAGCAAGGAAGGGATAGGGCCAGGATTCAAACCCAGGTCTCTCTGATTCCCAAGTTCTTGCTCTTAAACAGATCCCACTCTTTTCTCAGACTAAATACAAAAGAAAAAAGAAAAAAAGCTTCAGACAACGCTCTTTGACCATCTGAATAAGGGAATCAAGAGAAGCACGCAGGTCAGGAGAAAGCACAGCAGACTCGGCTCTAGCTGCCCGGCTGGCTGCCCTTTAGCAATTTCACATTTGTGAGATGTAAGATAACTGCCCTTCAGTTGCTGTAAGAATTGAATTAGGCCACTGAGTCCCAGAACCTAAAAGCTGGAAGGCACCCTAGGGAGTGTCTAGTCCATCCTTCCCTGCCTTGGATGAAGGAACTGTAGCCCAGAGAGGGGAAGCAACCTGCCCTAGGTCACATAGCAAATACTCATGGAGCTGGGCTAAATCCCAACTCTTAGGCAGATGTTCCTTGTAATGACTTGGAAATTTTTAAAAGCACGCCAAACATGTGAGTCAGCGTGTGTTCTTGAAAAGTCCCCAATTACAGTAATAATAATAAAGACAATCAGTCCATTACTTTTCTTATAGGCCTTTAGGCCTTAAAAATAGTCTAGGACAAATCATTGTTGTGATTATTAACATTATACAATCATACTGTCAGTTGTTTCTGTCACCGTTATTGTGACTGTTACTCAGTGTAAAACCCCTTCCCGCCCAGCCAGCACCTGAAGGAGCTGGGTTCAAACCAAGGTCTGACCTCAGACAAGGGACACTGCTCTAAAGTGGGAATAATAGTATCGACTTCATAGGGTCATCGTGGGTGGTTAATGAAATAACGGTAGCCAGCACAGAGAAAGCAACTAAAAGCGGTACCTACTGAGACAACAGCTGCTCTCTGAACCTCTGTGATGATTGCTCAGGGAGCTTAGTACCTAGCACCCTCCTCCCCACCTGTCTCCCTCTCCCCCGGAAATGTTTCTTTCTCCTTTTAAGAAACTGGGCCTCTCCATTTTGCACGGACGCCTGGGGACCTGGAGCTGTGCTGGACCCAGTACCCTCAGTCGCAGCTCAGCAAGACAGCCAGGCCCTGTGCTTGGGCCCAGGGTGAAGGGCGGCTGGTTTCTGGGAGCCGGTACCCCAACTCAAGGGGCGGTACCGCCGGTAATACTGGTGCAGGGTCCACAGGACCGTCTCCTGTGAGCAGACGGGCTTTAGTTCGGGGCAGTGGCCACTGTGCAGCGTAAGTCCTCCAGCTGGTCTTTACTCCGCTGTGTGTTCTCCTGGAAGATTTTCAGACAGTGGGACATGTTGTCCTCACTGGAGGTGCCCTGGCAGCTAAGGTAGGGCACGAAGCCTGCAAGAGCCGATCACGACCTTCAGCGAGGGATTCAGAACCTGCCCAAACCCCCAGAATCTCAGCCCACCCCTTGCCGTTTCTTCCTTGGCCGACAACACTGCATTTTCCCAAAGGCCATTAATACAAGCCGCGCTGTTGTTTCCACTGTGGCCGGGCCCTCCCAAGGCCATGAAAAACTGACCTTGGAGCAGGGAGGGAAGGCCCGTTTCAACAAAGGCAATGACAGTAATATTCTTTGATAGCAAAGCCCCTGATGTCAGCCCAAACGGCAAATGGGGAAAGCATTTAATGGACCAAAATGTTAGTCAAAGGAGTAACTGAAATTATTCATCTTTTTAGAGAGAGAGCTTATTTTCTTTAACACTTCCCAAATGCAATCGGGGATCTTTTCTGTCGGACCACCGGGAAATTGCGGGCTTATTAAAAGCAGAGACCTATTACACAAAAAGGTAAATTCATTATCTGTGAGACCCACCCCGAGCACAATTTTTCACCATTTCCCACAAAATAACATGTAATCATTACAATTAGTATGGGTAAAACACAACTATTTATTTAAACTGGATGCTGAATCCTAAGTACTATAATGCTGCCATAATAAGACCAGTTTTTAAAAGAACAAAGGGGGAAAAACTGGTTAAGACTTGGCTTTAAACTGTCAATAAATAAATAAGTAAATCCCATTATTGAAGCCCACCATTTTTGCCCTTGTCCCCAGGGCCAGAAAACCTGGCCCCAGAGTTGAGAGCAGCAACCCTCACCCTGTGCACCTGCAAGAAACCTCCTCTGGAAGAATCCAATTACTAAACTGCTCTTGACAGTGTTGGAAGTCTTCCACCCACTATCCAGTCTCCCCAGTTTTGGGACAATTAAAAGTTACCCTAACATCATGGAGGAGATCGTAGACACCCAGGGGCCCTGTCACAGAGGTTTTTCTCCATCAGGGTCTACTTTGATCTGTATAGATTTTACCTGATTGCGTATATGCACACACACACATAGGAATACAAGCTACCCTTACTGAGTCTTGCTAAGGGCCAAGATATTTTAAATAGGCTATGTGTGCTGGCTCCTTTAATCCTCACAACAGTCTTATGAGGAATCTATCCCTACTCCATGTAATGGGTTGAATTGATAGACCTATCCAAGTCCTAACCCTTGGTACCTGTGAATGTGAACTTATCTGGAAATAGGGTCTTTGCAGACGTAACTAAGGATTTGGAAATGAGATCATCATGGATTTAGGGTGGGCTCCAAATCCAGTGCCTGGTGTCCTCATAAGAAAAAGGAGAGGGAGATTTGAGACACACAGACACAGAGACACTGAGCAGAAGGCCACATGAAGAGCCATGTGAAGATGGGGACAGAGACCGGAGTGATGCTGCCACAAACCAAGGACACCAGGGGCCATCAGAGAGAGCACGGCCCTGCCAACATCTTGATTTCAGACTCTGGGCCTCTAGAACTGTGAAAGAATAGACATCTGTTGTTTTACACAGCAGCCCTAGGAAACTAATACAACCATTTAATAGAACTTTCTACTTACCATAGAGAGGTAAGTAACTTACTTACAATCACATAGATAATGGCCAGGGAGAGATTGGAATCTCAGTTTATTAGAATCCAAAGCCTATTCTCTTAACCAACCAGTAGGACCAGGGTGAGGATGGGCAACCTTGGAATATTCTCCATGCCTCTCCCCACCAAGAATACCTATATGTGAGAGCAGAGGGCCTATGGGGACCACCAGGTTTGTTACCCACAGGGATGTGACTTAGTAAATTCTCGGAAGCCTGAGGAGGAAAAGCCTTTAGGTAGGGTGACCAGTTGTCCTGGTTTGCCAACAACTGAGGGGTTTCCTGGGATGTAGGACTTTTAGTGCTAAAACTGGGACCATTCCCGGCAAACCAAAAAAGTTGGTCACCATCCCTCTAGGGGACACAGGAAGAAATGGGACCATAGGGACAGCCCTAGTTCATGAGAACAGCACAACTTGGGAAGGAGGACAGAGCCTCAGCTTATTCATTGTGTCTATCCTGGTCCAAATGTATATAACAGACATTAATTAAGCGCTTCTTACATATCAGGCCATGTCCTGGGAGATCTGCCTAGATTATATCTCCCCACTTATCAGAACCCAGTTATCTGCCATCTTCAGCAATGAAACACTTTCAGCAAGTTTCTTAAAAGCTAAAGTGCCTGTACTGGTCCAATAAGCCGGTCAGACATGGACAGTGGGGCAAGGCAGGGACAGCGATCAGGACCATGGTCCCCCTGCAGGGCACATCACCACTTACCACTGTAGCCTGGCGTGATTGGCAGGTGTCTCATGAAGGTCTTGGAAGACTCCATGATTTTGCTCTCTGTTAATGGAGGGAAGTCCTTGCCTGGAGAACTCACTGCGCATGTGCTAGAGCCCTTGGGCGTCAATAACCTTGCCCGGGGATTAGGACAGAGAGAAAGCACCACAATTCGCCAAGGATGCTGTTAAACATGCAATGTACAGGACATAGCAAAGAATTAGAGAAAACTGTGGCTGGAAAGGATCAGAAGTTGCAAAGGCTGGCATGGAGTCCACGATGGGGCGGGGGGCGGGGGGGGCGCGGACCGAACAGGGCCAGTTTCCGTGGATGCTGTCTCCCGAGCCAGACCCCTTCTCCCTTCTGGGATGGCCTGTGGTGCCCCCAAATGGACCAGGTCCTGCATCTGACATCTGTTGATGCTTCCAAGTCCTACCCTACCAAGCCAGTTCCTCTCTCAAAAGTCATGCCCTTGTGGCCAGGACAAGTGGCCTCAGGGGTGGAGGGGAGGGCCTCAGGCAAGGTTTACTCAGCAGTGATGGAAATTTTTTAAACAGTTCAGACATTTGAAGAACACCTGCTACAACACGGCTGAAGACAGGACTGCATTCCTGTGAAACGCTAACGGCCGCCCTAAGGGTTAGTTCCTACCTGAGTCCCTATTTTACAGATGGAAAAATAAGGCACAGAGAAGTTAAGTAACTTGTCTGAAGGTCCCTGTGCCCAAGGAGGTGTGACCGAAAGACGTCTACACTCTAGGGGCAGGATTATGTTGCCCAGAAGCGTGCCGCGGGTACGTGGCCGGCTGCGCAGCTGCAGACCCAGCCCAGAGGCCTGCCTGGAGGAGGCTGAAGGGAAGAGCGCGGAAAGGGGGTGTGCTGGGGGTGTGGCCGGGAAGCGGGTCAGAAAGCGCGGACACGCCCCCTCCCCCCGCCCCGTCCTCACCTGGGCTGGCCTGGATCCTGGCCCCGCCGGACCTCCTGCCCTGGCCCGGCCTCCACCAGGGCTCCCGGCTTTTCTGAGCTCACCTCGACCGCGGTGGGGCGGGAGGGGGGAAGGGGCGGAGTCGGACCATCCCCCACCCCCTCACCCCCGCCCCTCCCGCCTTCATCACCCTTTGGCCTCCTGGAGAAGTCCGGGCCTGGGAGCCAGAGGCGACTGGTGAGCCCGAGTGAACTCGCTCAGCGTCGGTCTATGGGGTGAGATGCAGAGGTTTGCCCGGAAAATATTTTGCCTCCGAAGCTGTTCTCCGTTCTGAATACACGGTCTCACCCAGGCGAGGCCGCTCTGGGTTTGGAAATTGTGGGGAGGGGTACACGAAGGGATCCGGGTCAAAGCCGCCTTTTCTGATGTAGACACTGGGGAGGCCTGGGCTGGGGGGAGAGGATTGGCGGGAACAGGCCTTGGCAGGGGCGGGGGAAGCAGCCTGGGAGGGAAGCAGAGGCCTGTGTCCCAGACGGCTTCCCCTGGGCTTCTCACACCCCTGTCCTCCCAGCCTCGTATCTCTTACTGGGAGAATCTCCAGATGGCCAGGACAGGTAGCCGGGCAGAGAGGGACAAAGCACCAAAACGAAGGATGCTGGGAAGGTGTAGCCGTACTCCTTCTAACCGTCCTCATTTTATGGGAGATGAGCCTTCATCTCAGTGGACTGAAACTGTCAACTACAAATTGGCACTTGCCATGGGCACTTGCCATCTACAAGGATTAATTCAGGTGCTGCTGAAGTTGCTGACTTTCAACACCCCCTGAAAGGAGTTCAGGGTGGAGAGCAGAAAAGAGGCACTCTGTGCTCTGGGAAGAACTGGCCCAACAGGTCTTCAGAGAGTTAGATATTTTCAGGAGCCGATTTTATTTTATGAGGCTAATTCTTGCATCTCCTCGTATTTAGAAAAGCACTAAAATCCTTCATGGTGACGTCCGCTTCTCACGACTAGCAGAAACCTTCTGCAAAAAATATGTGCCTGATTGCACGTCCTCCCTCTTCACCAGAATCACATATATACTGACTTCCCCCCGCACCTCCTCAGAGCAGTTTCTCACAACTATCTGAAATGCTGTGTCCCGGACTATAGCCCTCATTTTGTCCCAAGTGAAACTCAGCTCTCAACTCTCACATTGTGCACTTTTTTTAAGTCGACAAAACCAAGATGCCCACTGTGTGACCCAGATCCAGGGATTGAGTGGCCTTTACAGACGGCTAGTCCCAGCCGCTCCCTACAGATGAGGAAACGGCAGCCAGACTGCCTGCTGGCTCTACTTTGCAATACACATTTGTTTGACTGTACATCCTGGCCTTCCCGACCTCTCCTCATGGGAACTAAACTTCAGATGAAAGCTGGTGCAGCTACCCACTTAGGAAGAACCCATTTATACCTCCCTCGAGGTCCTAGGGCCCGCCTCAGACTATCCAGAAACTCCTAGAGCCAACTGTGGAGGGTGACCCAGACATAGAGCCTGGAATAAACCCAAGGCCCTAGATGCAGCGGCCAGCTAGTTGTGCCTGCTAGGATACCACAGGACAAGGCATCAGTCCTTGGCCTTCTGCTTTTTTTTTTTTTAATGACCTTCATTTGGGTGCAGTGGAGTTGTCAGTTGTCACTGTGGCTTATCTGCCTTTTCTCTGGCAAGGCTGCTTTCTTTGGCTTCAAGGGAAAAGGGGTTAGTGGATGTCAATGGAGGCTTGGTTCCCACTGAACAGAGGAGCCAGTCTTATTGGAATGAAAGTTAATAAAGCTTGCAACACCTAGGAAAAGACCTGAAAATCAATTTCCATCTGAGATGGGATAGAGGGGAAAGTCAGTAATGTATCTATAATTCCATTTACAAATTCAGAGTGCACAAAAAAAGTCTGGGCCACATGAGATCCAGAGTTTTGCTTTATTAGACATCTGTGAAGACAGTTTGCAGATACAGTCAAATTGTGAATTGCTGCCAAGTTCTGTGAAGTTCGAATTTATAGTGAACAAGACCCCAGTGGCTGTTATTTTAAAATATATTTCCATATTCCAAGCAGATAAGAGATACGATGTTATGGCCAACAACTTTTATACTAGTCACCCACTTCAGCCATTTCCCAGCATAAATATGCAGCTTCATCACAGCTATTTCATCTCTACAATGTGTGATTCGGTCTTCAGCTAATAATGCATTTTGACTCCTGTTTATATAGGTGCATGCGATTCTTTGCCACCCTGGCAATTAACCAGACCTGGACTCTAAAAGCTAAACTTGATCTAAATAACATTCTAGGGGTAGGGCAGGCTCTGTAATCTGGATTCATCTTAGCCATCGGTCTGCAGAAACGCTTGTATGTTTCCTCTTTTCTCTCTTGTCCATCTGACATTCTTGTCTGACATTCAACATTTATTAATGCGTGCTGTGTACAGAAAGGGAAGTTACAAAGGAAACCCTTTGACAGTTCTGCTTCCAAGAAACTTGAACCTCAGATAATATGCCAGGGACAACTGAGTAATGCGTTAAGACAACGGGCCTTTTAGAAACTTTCTAAGATTAGAAAATGTGTCCACGTGTACCTATCCAGTGTTCTTACTCCAGAATATTTCTGTGGGGGGGGGAAGGGGAGAAGGGGTGGATTTGAGGATTCCCTCTAAGAAGTCTGACTATCAGGGCTGCATCTCTGGGGCAGAAGAAAATCCAGTAAAATCATCACCCCCTCTCCATCATCTTTTTGCCAACATTGCAAATTTCAACCATTTCATTTAAGAGAAATGGTAGACAAGGAGACGTCCTTAATGCCAGATGGGAAAGGCCTTACATTAGCCAGGGAAAGGACTTGACTCTATTCCTCACACTTACACCTAATCCAGTAGAAAAGCTGGATTTGTGTACCACCTGATTCCTTCCTTTGATGCTGGTGTCCTGAAAACATCACACTTTGCCTTCAGAGTGACTGCTTCGCCCCACAAGGAGACGCTGACAACCCTGCAGGGACACAGAGTTTTCTGAGGTTTTTCTGCACAGTCACATGGCTTACAGAACCAGAACGTTCAGCTCTCAAAGACAGTTCAGGAGAATCGATACATTATTGTGCACCTTTAAATATAAACTGTGAACCTTCGGGAAGGATGTGTGTGTAGAAAGGTCTGATGGAGCTGTCAATCCAGCCGGTCTATTTCGTAGAGGATTCTGACCCTAGGCACCTCTGTTGCTCAGTCTGCACACACAGTCCATAGCTCAGCATCAGTACAAATCAATGTCTAGTAAGCACAATTAAGAAATGAAACCATGGAAACTTACAGGCAGCAATGTCATCAACAAAATTCAAAGAGCATTTTCCCTTTTTTTTTTTTAACAAGAGCACATTGTAGAAATCAAGATTCTGTACAATTTTCTAATATTATATGTACATAAAATTATATTACTTATAACTAAATGGAAAAGTCTTGTTTGTAGAGTATGGCTGGCAACACCAAAGAAAGGCCCATAACATTTAGGTTTTGAAGCCGAGCAGGCAGCAAGAGAACCCTAGAGCACACATTTGTGTCTCGATGCGAAACCCCGCTACTAAGTATGTGACTAGCATTCTCTAGTTCTGGGTTTGTCAGCGTTTCACATTCTAGTAGGGAATTCTGCAGCAAGCGATGTGAAAAAGAAGACACTTAAAATGAAGTTGGAAATGCTACTTAAAATCTGCATATGATAATGGGCTGTGATAATGGGTTTGTGAATCCAAGTTGCATTCAAAGTTAGTGGCTGAGTCATCCATCCTCCCCTCATTCATTATGCATGCCTCTGGCGATTTAAAATCGAATTAACTCCAGCAGGTGGAAAAGACAGCTTTGAACAGATCACATGGGCTGAGTCAGGTTCTTGATTCTTCTCCTCAGTTGGCTCGTGAATGTTGAAGACTGGCTTTGCAAGTGGGGAAGGATGGAGAGCGGACACACACACCAGTTGGTTCCTCAGCCCCATTCTTAGGCTGCCTTTCTTCCAATCTTTTTCCTCCCCAGGCCCTTCCTGTGAAGGTTAAAAGTGCCATCCCCAAGCCAGCTGGAGCTCCAGCCCCACTCACAAGAGGGCAACGTGTGGGA